AGGTCTATGTCCAACATAAAGCAGAAATTGACCATAGAATTGCACTGGAGGACCAACAAACGCCTAAAGAAGTGTTTCCTCTAAGAATCTCTGTGGTCAACTTCTGGCAGAGTCAGGCTGGAGGACCTGTCCTAGAAATTCATATAGAGAACATAGCAATCAAATCCACAAATAATCAAATCTGCAAAAGTCAATGCTGCAAATATGAAAGGCCAAGTATATTTTGTATATGAAAGATCTGAGTTACTTTCCAGGCATGTCTAGGTAGGACTGGGTGAGACCCGTATCTGAAATCTTGGAGCATTGCTGCCAATGAATGTAGCTCCAAGGTTGGAAACCTGTAACTTTCCATTTATTTTAACTGCTGATTTCTACAATTCTTCTTCATTGGCTGTGCTGAGCCTCATGGGAGCTTAAGTCTAAAATACCTTACCCATATAAACAATACATTAAGTCCAATACTTAACAGTGTGAGAGTAAGCAACAAAAAAAAATCCAGAATTTATACTTAGCAGTCTGCAAAACCTGTGGATAACTAGGTTTGGGTGACAGTTGATAAAGCATCTTAATTTTTTTTTTCTTACATCATTTATAAATTCTGCATCATGCATGATTTACAAATATTTTAAGGAAAACAAAATTAAGATCTTTTCTCAGACTGTTACATAAACCCAATTTCTTTCTTTCAGTTAGTCTTAAAGGTGCTACAAGATCTCTCTACATAGTGATTCTACAGACTAACACAGCTATGTGCCTTTGCAGACTGCCAGAAATAGTGCAAACTGAGTCCACTTTAACTGCCCTGGCTCAGTGCTAGGGAATCATGGGAACTGTAGTTTTTCTGAGACATTGAGCCTTCTCTGTCAGAGAGTTCTGTTGCCACAATAAACTACAGTTCCCATGATTCCCTAGCAATGAGTTAGGGCAGTTAAAGTGGATTTAATTTGCACTCTTTCTGGCAATCTGCAAAGGCCCTATATTTTTGAATTCTATCAGTTTTTCCAGGTTATAAAGATCTTAAATATGGGGGGAAAACTAGAAAAACAGAGGCATGAGGAATTAGGCTATGGTTGCAGAAAAGAGGTTTTAAGATGTAATCTCTTCGCAATCAACAGATCACTATAGGTCTAAGTCCAATAGAGAGAACAAGGGCCTGATCAGACTGCCAGAAATAATCCAGTTTGAGACCACTTTAACTGCCCTGGCTTAGTGCTAGGGAAATGTAGTTTATTGTGGCACCAGAGCTCTCTGACAGAGAAGGCTGTGTCTCAGAAAAAACTACAGTTCCCATGATTCCCTAGCACTAAGCCAGGACAGTTAAAGTGGACTCAAGCTGCATTATTTCTGGCAGTCTGTTCAGGCCCCAAATTTTCCTATATTCTGCTTTTTAAGAATATATTCCGCATGTTGTTTCTGTATACTAAATTGTGATTACTGAATTGTCTATTACTAAATTGATACTAATGTCACAACCATGAACAACAAAGTTACAGTTATACATTTGTGGGAAGTGGTAAAGTCTTTATAACACACACATTGGCTTTGCCAGAAGTTACATTTTAAAAGTAAACTCTGATCAACATAACTCAACTCTGGTCCAAAACATGCTGCAGAAATAATCCATTTTTGAGACCACTTTAACTGCCCTGGCTCAGTGCTAGGGAATCCTGGGAATGGTGGTTTATTGTGGTATGAGAGTTCTCAGACAGAGAAGGCTAAATGTCTCATAAAACTACAGTTCCCAGAATTTCCTAGCATTGACCCAGGGCTGTTAAAGTGGTCTTAAATTGGATTATTTCTGCAGTGTGTCATGGCATCAGAGCTCTCTGACAGAGAAGACTAAATGTCTCACAAAACTACAGTTCCCAGAACTGTTTTGGACCTTTGACACCTAAAAATTTCAGTACATTCACCTGACAAACCTCATGATAAAGTTATGCTGCCTGGCCACAAGCTTCACACAGCATTTTCACTGAAAGTTAACCATTTACTCCTTTTCAAAAGCCAAGTTAACTGTAAGCTAGTACAATAACATCCAAAATCCACCAACCAGTGATACTTTTACTGGAGTAACCAAAATGTACAACATACCTGGTGCAACCTATTTGACGTTCCACTGGCTCCTTCATCAGGCAAAAATGTTAAAAATGATACCGGGGGGGGGGGGGGGGGGATGACAATGTTAGTCATAGGACTGCATTTTGTCAAGATGTGGTTTTGTGGATTTTGAATGCTATTGTACTTTGCTGTACGGCCAACATGGATACCCCTGGATGTGTTAAGTGTAACCTAAAATCTTAGCTTGCAATGCAACCCCATCTGTGACCAAAATGCCCAAATGCTTTGCTGCTGCGTTTACAAGTTCCTTTGATTTCAAGGGGACTTGCTTCCATGTCAATGTACCTGTGGCTGCTGCCTAAAATCTCTTCTTGTTGTTGTTTGTCTTCAAGTTGTTACAAACTTGTGGTGACCCTCAAGCAAATTTATCATGGGTTTTCTTGGTAAGTTTCCTCAGAACAGGTTTGTCATGGCCATCCTCTGAGGCAGAGAGAGTGTGACTTGCCCAAGGTCACCCAGTGGGTTTACATGGCTGAGCTGGAATTCGAACCCTGGTCTCCAGGGTTGTTGTCCAACACTCAAACCACTACACTACGCTGTCCCTCTATTGTTGTTAATGACAAATATTTATAATATTACAACTTATTTTATTATTAATTTATAATTTGTTTTATTTTAATATTTGTTTGTCGATGTGTACCTTCAAGTCATTATTATTATTATCATCATTATCATTAAATATTTATAACATTATAACTTATTTCATAACTTAATTTATAATTTATATTATTTTATTATTTGTTTGTTGTTGTGTACCTTCAAGTCATTATTATCATTATTATCAAATATTTATAATAGAACTTATTTCATAAATTAATGTATAATTTATTTTATAATTTATTTGTTGTTGTTTACCTTCGTCATTATCATCATCATTATTATTTATAATATTTTAACTTCATAACTTCATTTATAATTTATATTATTTTATTATTTGTTTGCTGTTGTGTGCCTTCAAGTCATTATTATCATTATTATCAAATATTTATATTATAACATTTCATAAATTAATTATGATTTGTTTTATTTTATTATTTATTTGTTGTTGTGCACCTTCAAGTCATTATCATCATCATCATCATCATTATTAAATATTTATAATATTACAACTTACTTCATAACTTAATTCATAATTTATTTTATTATGTGTTTGTTGCTTTAGGTCATTATTATCATAATTAAATACTTACAATATTACAACTTATTTCATAATTTATAATTCATTTTATTTTAGTTGTTCCTTGTTGGGTACCTTCAAGTCACCATCATCATCATCATCCTCGCTATGATTACTAAATATTTATAATAACTTATATTTATAGCTGATTCATAATTCATTTCATTTTATTACCCGTTCGTTGTTGTGTGCCTTTATGTCGCTTCCAATTCATGGCGACCCGAAGGCGAACTTAAATAATGGAGTTTTCTTGGCGAGGTTTCTTCAGAGGAGGTTTGCCATTGCCTTCCCCTGAAGCTGAGAGAG